TAAAGTCTATCTGAAATTCTCCCGCATAAATTCCCTCCCTCCTTTGCCTCCCCCAGAAATATGTTATGTGGCAAATGACTTTTCCTAAACTCTGAAATACAAATTGCAGCTAAATGGTTTCTCCTGTGAACGGAGAGGTTAAGATTTTTGACACTCGCTCTTTAGTTGTCTACCTTTGAACATTTTCCCTAATCCCACTGGTATTGAGTTTTATACAGATTAGTTTTCTTGGATGTTAATTTGCATGCTCTATCATCCTAAACAGAAAAGATATAGTTCATAGGTCACATTTATTAGCACAAAAGTGGCTCTTGAGATGCTTGTTTATTTTTATCATCTTTAAATAGACAGGAAGGCTGACAAATCTAAACATATAGCTTTAGAAGAAAACAGCAAAGGGAATGCTGCAGTAGAAATGACTTTAAAATATTTTCTTATGAATTATTTTAACCTCTGCAATGTTTCTGCTTCAGTTGCGTGAAGGCAGGTGCTGTCTAGCTGGCAGCCCATGGGCTGCATGCAGTTCTTAAGGGGTTAACATGTAGTCCCCTGGCCCCCACCTGGCAGCCACTACCCCCATGGCTGTGACAGTTTGGTGGCCAGAGCATCCAGGCTCCTCCTCCAGCCTCTGTTTCCTACCTCTGCTCGTGGAGTCAGGGGTGGGGATGGGGTTGGGAGGTGGAAGGGTGCTGTACATGCAGCAGGGAGAAATCCGGGCTGCACATGCAGCAAGGGAGAGTGGGAATGCCTAGTCTGTGTGCATGGCAGGGAAAAGCCGGGCCACCTAGGCTGTGGGTGCAGTGGGGGAGAGTAGGAGTGTCTTGCACACATAGGAGAGGAAAACTGAGCTGCGTGGGCTGTGAACACAGCAAAGGAGACCCTGGGGGTCTGAGACTCGTGGTGTGTGGTGCTATGGTCTGTAGCCTGCGTGGCATGCAGCACCCCCCCCGCAACTGTCCAGAAGTTGGATACCCCTGTGTTGAGGTATTTACTTTATTTGCAAAAGGAGGATTTTATTTAACTCTTCTTGAGCTAAACTCCAGGTTGGCCTCAGCTAAAGACTAGCTCACTTGCAAGATTTTAATTTGTCTCCTAACCAGCACTAGAGACAGGGAAAAGCAAGGATTTCCAGCAGGTGCAGGGAAGGCAGGTCTGTGGAGATTCAAGATTGCCTCCATGTCTACCTAAGGTGCATCTCATCTTTCTTTACTACCAGTTCCTAACATTGCTCTTGTATTATGAGTCAGCAGGGGGACATAGCATATTGTTGAACAGCAGATCAGAAGAGGGATGAAACACTTGCAAAGACAGTGGTAGGAGGAACTTGTATTTAGTTCTGGTTGGGTGAGAATAGCAGAATAGTAATCTGTCCATCAGTCAAGAAACCTATAAACGTGCTGTGGGCTGCTTCATCTAGAATGCTTTTTGATATGTTTTCCCTGCAACCTTTTATATGCTAATGGAAAGATTTTGTGTTACCAATTATGCACAGTTTTACACACAGAAGAAAATAAGAAATAGCAAACTAAACATTTTTTTCTTCATTTTCTCGGCCATCGCTGTTTTCCAAGAACACCAGAGCCTATTAAAAAGGAGTTTCAGGGTGCTCCAGTACTTTTGTAACCTTATTGTCTCATTGCTACTGTCAGAGGACTGGGGAGATGATCCTAACCCAAACCCTATGAATAAGTATGGAGCAGTGCTTGCTATCATATGCAGGGTCTTCATAAAGTCCTTGTGCACTTTTAAACTTTAATAACTTAGGTTGTAGGTATGATAGAAACAATCGATAAACGGCATTTAAAAGTAAATTTAATAAAGTTTTAGGACAACTATAGTACACAATGCTAGTCTTAAACATAACCACCATCCATCATGATACAGTGCTCAGTGTGATCTTCCAATTCCTTGAAAACGTTTCTCAGTTGCTCTTGAGTTACTGCACTAATTGCATTGGTGATCCTAGCCCTAAGCTCCACCAAAGAACATGGTTTTGACAAGTAAACTACACTTTTAACATGTCCCCATAAAAAGAAGTCCAATGGCAACAGGTCAGGTGAACGAGGCGGCCAAGGAATTAGTCCACCTGTGCCTATCCACTTCTCTGGAAAAACGTCATTGAGGAACTGTCGTACATTAAGAGTATAGTGGCATGGAGCTCCATCTTATTTAAGAATAAATTCATTATTACTTATGAAGTCTAGCATTGTGTACTCTAGTTGTACTAAAACTTTAATAAATTTGCTTTTAAATGCAATTCACAGATTGTTTCTATCATACCTACAACCTAAGTTATTAAAGTTTAAAAGTGCACAAGGACTTTATGAAGACCCTGTATTAAGCTATAGTGTTGTGCTTTCTCCCCCCATTGTCATTCTAGTAGTTATAGACATTGTTGGATTGTTCCTGTTCCTTCAGATTGGGATTATCAGCACCAGCATGATGCTAGAAGTGTGACTTAGTACAGGTTTCCCTCGCTTTGTATGTGTGTTCCTGGAAAATAGTGCACAACTTGAATTCACATAAAGGGAACCACTTTACAATGTAACAAATAGGGATTTATTCCAAGACGTCAACTGTACTGACCCCCAGACCCATTTCTACCACTTTTACAAGACAATTTTGGTATTCACCAACAGCAGACAGTACTCGTAAGCACAGGACACTATCATAATGGGGATGGCAGCTACAGAAACACGTTTCGCAGGCAACAAGCGAGGAGCACAGATCCACACAGGAGACTATATTTTGGTGTGCACCACTCCCACAATCCACTGCACGAAGCAGCTGACTGTGGGCTTCGACCATACCTATCGCATAAGAGTGAATTTACCTCACGTATAACGAATTCTTGGTATAACAAGGGTCATCGCATAAGAGCAAATTCCCACATACAGAACCCACATAAAGCAAGGAAAACCTGCACTGTATCTTTTCACCAACAGAACTGGGGAGTTGATGCCCACTTCAGATTTCTTTGGATTCTTTTTCCTGATCAAGTAAAGAAAAGTAAGTTTAAACTTCATGCTGCCTGCATAAGGCTTGAGTTTACTTAAGTGACTTACTGTGCCTTTAAATACTGCATGGTACTATTCCATTTCCTTCCTCACTGAGACAAGGGAATTGGAAATGTATACTAAGCATCATCATAGTAGTAGACCAGTCACTACCAGTTATCAAAGGTGTAGGTGAGAGCATTATGACACCCTGAGAATGCTGAGGTCTGTATCTCTCAGCCAACATCCAAGTGTGTGAGACAGGATGCAGCAGACTTGCAAAGACACCCCACCCCTTCAAAATGATGCTCAAATCTTAAAATACTTCTGGATTCTTTTTGTTAGGCCATGTGACTCTTCCCATCACTTCAGCTCATTATTTATTTTGGATGTAGAGAATTTTCAACAATAAAAATGATGGGGTACCAAATGTATGTAGAATAAGGGTAGCTGTGAAGGCATAAGAATGAAATCCAGAAAAAATGAGGGACACTTTTAGTCCATGCTGAAAACACCAGTCTAGTGGTCCCAGGAAAATAGATGCTTCTAATTCATTTTAGCATATGGCAAACGTGTTAAATGAAACTCTTAAGCTATTTTGAGAAACTATCTTCAAGAATGGCTGTATGCCAGGATGAAATCCCAGGGGAAATCCTGTACTATCTATTTGATATTGAAGTACTGGCAAAAGTACAAAAATGCTGAGAGAAGAGACTGTCTGTTGCCACTGCTGCTATCAGAAATCAGTTAAGGTTATGTATGCAAATTGCTGGAATTTGTGCAAGGGACAACTCTAGTCTAAAAAAAAACACTCGAGAAAGGAAATGACACAGATAAGGTTTCATGTGCAGCCATAATACTCTCCCTTTGTGCGTGGATATTATGATATAGTGTTGGACAATCCCATATTTTGACCAACTAATACACTGTGGTACATTTATTAACCTAAAGAGGACCTGAGTGAATGAGAGGGGCTGTCTTCAGAGCCCCCTATAAGGTCTTTACTACTCGCTTCAAATTCTTAAAACGGACAGCACACAATAGTTTAAATATACTCATAATATTTTGTAAGGGTAAAGTGCAAACATTTATAGCACACTGCAACTCAGTGCTGGTCAGGTCCCAATCCTGCAATAAATACATGCTGTGTGGATGGCCCTACATGGAGCTCAAGTGAAAGATATGGAGGAGAATTTGTTTGTTTGCTAAATGGTGTGACCTCCCTCTGGTTATGTTTAAGAAGGAGAAGTTTGGTTCAAGTGATGTAATGAACAGAATCTTTTTTGCAAGCACATGTACTTCAGGAACATGTGGTTTTTAACAGAGTAAAAGGGAAAGTTTCTCCCTGATCCTTTTATGAACATACTGGCTGCACACTGTTTGTGGGTTGTCACAAGAGTTTCAAACCTTCTGGTGTGTTAAAATTCAGTTCTCAGTCTTGCAGTTTTCAACCAGACCCTCCCTGTAAATCAGTGTTCAGTGACTATGAGTGTTTTTCATCATCAAAGTACAGATGTGTCATCTGATAAAGAAGAATAATGTCTGTTCAGTTCTTACTACATCTTGTACAAAAGTTTCCTTATCTTTTGATAAGAGTTTAAGGGATGATTTATGAAATGTGATTTTTCTCACCATATGCCACTGACATCTGGCTTGATATAATTCTGTAAAATCCAGAAGTAGTAAGTATGCATGTGTAAACTGGATTTACTGTAAAAGAAGTCATAAAATTGGACATTGGGCTGGAATTCTGGCTCCCATGGAGACAACGACCAAACTTCCACTGAGTTCA